TAATAAGAATTAAATAATAAGAATTAAATAATAAGAATTAAATAATAAGAATTAAATAATAAGAATTAAATAATAATAAGAAATAAATAATAAAACTTATCTAATTTCTAAAAAAAATATTTATTAAAAACATTTTTTAAGAATTATAAAGAATATTTATAAATGAAAATAAAATATATATAATAAATCGAATATAAAAAACTTCTTTTTAGACTAAAAAAAGCTATTATTCTGTAATACTTTTATTTAATTCTTTATAAGAGAAATATATTTTATTTTCTTTAATTTTAATAACTCTAAAATATAAATTATAATACTAATAATATTTTTAATCTCTTAAATATTATTTCGCTTATAATATCTTATAATATCTTTTTTAACTTTATATTTATTTTAAAATATTTATTTACTAATATATATTTATTATTAATATAATTTTTAAAGAAGTACTAGAATTCATTTCTTTTAATAAATTATTTAAATTAATTTCCAGTATATATTTACTAAAATATAATATCTTTTTTAATTAATTCATATATTTTACTTTATATAAGCCTAGCTAATAATATAATAATTTCATATTTATTAATTTAATATTATATATAAGAATTAGTTTTTTTTTTTGGGAAATAGGCTTTAAATAAATCTAATAAATAATATTAAATTATTCTTTTTTCTCTTAATATCTTTAGTTCTTTTTTATTTCTTATTTATATTTGCTTTACTTATATTTCTAGAAGTATTTCTTTATTATAAACTTTATTTTATTTAAGTATTCTTTAAATTAAAAAGCGTATTTTTATAAATAATATAGCAGTTTTATTATAAATTATATAAAAGAAATTTAATTTAATTTAATTAATAAATAAAATATATATAATAAGAGATTTATTTAGAGCTTCTTTTTATTTATTATAAAAGTAATAAATACTTAAATAATTAATTAATATTTTTATTTATTTAATTATATTATTACTTTTAAAATTATAAGCCGAAATAATAATTTTATTAATTTCTAGTTTATTAAGTTCCTGAATTATTATTTCTTTAAATTCCGATTTACTATTTACTTTAAGCTATTTAAATAAATTATATTTATAAATATTTTCTTTTTAAATGAACTTAATGATTTTTTTATTAATTAAGTTTTTTTTTTTAAAGATTTGGCTTTAATTTATTCTATGAAATTATTTCTAATAATAATTAAAAAGTTATATTTCCTATAATCTAATAACTTAATTATATTAATTTTAAAGTAATATAAAAGAAATATAGCTTTTATTAAATATAAAGCTTCTTTTTATTTTCTTTTACTCTTATATTAATAAACTTTATAAATACTAATATACTTTTATATATAGTTATAATAATCTTTTTAATAATAATAGCTAGCTATTAAATAAAAGATATTTTCTTTTCTAATATACTTATTATAATTCAGCTTTTAACTTTATTAATTAATATAATTATCTAATAATTACTTATATTTTATTATTTATATTTTATTACTTATATCTTATTATTTCCTAATTATATAATAATATATATAATATAACTGCTTTACTAGAAAAATATATTTGAAATATACTAGAGATATTTAAAAGACTAAGCCCCTTATAGGCTAGTATATTATAAGATATATATATTTCCTTATAACTTCTTATATTTTAGTTTTTCTTTTTTTAGCTTTAAATTATCTTTTTAAAAAACCTTTTACCTTATTTTCTAAGCCCTAAATATTATATATATAATAGTATTTAAAGCTTACTTCTTTTAATTCTATAAAGGATTTCAAATAAACCAATTTAGAACTATTAGAAATATAAATATTACTAAAATAATGAAATGTTAGAAATATAAGTAATAGACTCTAGAATAATAAAAGCAAAAAGCTTTAGAAGTTTTAAAGAAATTAGATATTTATATCTTTATAAAAATATATTAGTAATATTTTAAAAACCTTTTAAAAACCCGAAAGTTAAAGAATCTTATATAAAGGCTACTTTTTAATTAAGTTCTAGAATAATAAATACTTATAAGCTAGTAAATTAATTACTACTTTTAAGCTTTATCCTATAACTTTATAAGCCTTATATATATACTAGTAATAAAATTACTAGAGAGAATATAATAAAGGAAAAATATAATAGATTAATTTCCTAGAATATTATAGAACCCGGAATTATATCGACTTTTATTAAAGCTTCTAATAATACTTTTAAAGCTTTTACTAGTTTAGGTTATTTTATTAGTAGTTTTTCTCGAAACGAATATTATATTAATATTTTTAAAGAATTTATAAATAAGTTTATAAAAATAAAATTCTTTAATTTTATTATAAAGCTTTTAGATATTAAAAACTTTATTATTATTAAAGAATTATATAAAGGAATTAAGAAGTCTAATCTTTTATTTAAGAATATTAATATTATTATAATTAGTTATTAAAAGAATATTCGAAAAGCTTTTATATATAAAAACGACTATAATAATAATAAGAATATTCTTAATAATATTAAGCTTTATAATACTAAACTCGAAAAGAATATTAAATATTATATAGCTATAATAAATCGGTTTATAATAACTTTAGCTATTTTTGCTTCGTTTATTTTTGCTATTTTTATTATTTTTTCAAATTCCTTTCTAAAATTTCTTGAATTATCTTATTTTTATTCCTATCTAGAATCTTCTATATTTTATACTTTCTTTAAAAATACTAGAATTACTAAGCTTTTAGATTTAACTCTTTTTACTAGAGATTATATTATTTTTAATAACTAGCTAGTTTAAATTAAAAATAAATTATAAGGAAATACTAATTTATATTTCTTAGAGAATCTCAAAATTATTTATATTTCTAATAAACTTATAAATAATACTCTTGCCTTAACTAATTCTTATATAAATAAAAAATAATTCGAATTAGTATTATTAGCTTTTAGAGTTATATTCTTATTTAAAGAAGCTATACTTTAATTCTAATAAGATATAAAACACTTATTATAACTTTAGTAAACTTTAAATATATTTTAATTAAATATTTCAAAAGTTCTATACTTTTTTCTTATAATTATTTATGAAAGCAATATTAGTCTTTAAGATATTAAATATAAACTAAATAAGAAGATTTTATTAAAGCTTTAAAAGTTAATATATATATTATAATAATTTTTCTATTAATACTACTTGCTTTATTTTAGTATTATATTATTAATAATTAGTAAATTAAAGCTATATATAAAAAACCCAAGAAATATAAGAAAACGAAAGCTAATCTAGCCAAGTTTACTTCTGGTATTATATTCTCTTATATATTTAAAAAGAAATTCAAGAAGCCTATATTTATTACTTTTATTAAATATATATATATATATATATATTTTTGAAATATAAGTAATATCTTATAAAAACTAAAGATTTCTTAGTTATTAAATACTTTAATTATAACAAGTTTAGCTATTATATTAAGTATTATTTACTTAAATATAATAAGGAAATCAAAATAGCTTTCTTTAGAATTAAGCCGAATCTAGTTCCTATTTTAATAAAGTATCTAATTCTTGTTTTAGTAAAGTATTTAAAGAATTCAGGCTCTAATTCTAGTATAAAACCGGAAAACAAGTATTTCTAAAGAAAGTTTTTATCTTGGAGGCTTATAATATTAATTTGATAAATATTAATTTAATAAATATTAATTTAATAAATATTAATTTAATAAATATTAATTTAATAAATATTAATTTAATAAATATTAATTTAATAAATATTAATTTAACTTATTTAATAAAAGGAAATATTTTTATAATGCTTTATATTATTAATATAAATGAATTAGAAATTAAGCTTTTTCCCCTTATTAATATTAGAGTAAATAGTTATGCCTTTATTAATATAAAGCTTATTTAATTTATAAAGCAATTCTTAGAAATAAAACTATAATTTCTTTTATTATTCTATATTATATGCGGTTTTAATAAAAAGCTAGCTAAGTTTATTAAGAAGTATTTAGAAGTCTTACTTTTAATTAATAAATAAAGTATTAAAAAGATACTAATTAACGAGATATTATTATAAGCTATATCTGAAAATTAATTATTCTTAAGTAGTTTTTCTTTTTTAGAATTAATTAGAGTAAATTATATAATATTATAGAAAAGAAGCTTTTATAACTTAATTAAGATATAATATTCAAGTAAAAGCTAAAGAAGTAAAAAGAGATCCTTAATAAAAAGCAAATACTAGATCTAGCTATTCTTATTTCTATAATATTTAATTATATAGCTAAAAAAAAAGTATTATTAAGTAAATCTTTATTTATAAGATTAATAAAAAGCTTAAAGTTCGGGAAAAGAAGTTATTTCTGAACTAGGGAATTAATAATTAGAAGAAATAAAGCTTTAGTAGCCTTAAAAATATTACTCTTAAAACTTAAGAAATATATCTTTATTTTCTTTAAAAAGAAATTTAATATCTATTCTTCTTATAAATTATATAATTATAAGATTTAGATTATACTAATCTTTTTAGTAATAGTTTATTTAAAAGCTTTAGGAAATCAAGCATTTCTTGAAAAATAACTTGGCTAAGGGCTTTATTAAAGCTAGCTAATCTCCCTTTAATTTACTAGTTCTTTTTATAAAGAAGACTAATAAAGGTTTATACTTTTGTATTAATTTCCGTTATTTAAATAATATTATTCGAAAGAATTAATACTTTCTTTTACTAATTAATAAAACTTTAAGTTAATTATTTAAAGCCAAGATTTATATTAAATTTAATATTTGCTAAGCTTTTTATTATATAGTTATAAACCTGAACTTTTAAGAGCTAATAATATTTTAACCCCAACTCTCCATATCCGACTTCAGACTGATAGGAGTTGTCTCTAGTGTGCACGAACTTCTCCATTAGTTTTATCGACTGGTAGCAGGTAGCGTTGGGATACCTTAGCCGCCTGCTCTTCTTCCACGATCTCGATTCGGTATCGGTTCGTCCTGCGAAGGTTTCGGAGGTGTTGGATGAGCTTGAAACTCGTCTGACGTGGATGATTCCGGTCCTGCGCGCTGTGATCGATTCTAGTCAGCGAGGCTACTACGAGGTTCGGTGGGCTCGGCTATTTTGCTGACCTCCCAACCTTCCAAAATTATTCCTACAAACAAATTATCATGCCCAAGCCAAATCTGGATTTCCTCTCCTTGAAAGCCACATAATTTAGCTACTTTTAGAGCAAGCCTATATGTGTTTAGTGTCTAAGAACACTGCAGTTGGAGACACCATCTGCGTCTTCTTTGGCTTGGACATGCCTTTTGTTATACGGAGGGAGGACGATTATTATATATTGATCGGCCAATGTTATGTAGAAGGCGAAACCATAAATTATCTCGAAGAAGGCCGATTCGGTGTTACATAGTCTGCCTTAAGATGATCACGACCGTGAAACTTGTAAATTATGTGTCTCTTTATTTTATTTGAAAATCCGGCGTAGGCACTATTTAAGAAGTTCGGGTTGAACCCCAAGCGTTTAGTGTAATTTCTAAGATTATGTTAATGTAGGGAAATGAATGCAGCCTCTTCACCAAGGGAAGGAATAGCCACTTGGACTCCTCATCAATCTAAAGAATAATTCCTGCAAAATTGTAGACTAAGGGAGATCACTTTGCCTATCACTTTGCTTATCAAGCCCAACCCGAGCGGAGACTTTACTGCGCAAAGCAGTGTAGGGATCGTCTTGTGGGGCTATGCATGCATACAGAATGCGCCCTGTGTGGCTATGCATGCATACAGAATACGCCCTGTGTGGCTGTGTAGGGACGTGTAGTAGAGAGGCATGCCCAAAATTTTGTTACACCGCGTTGTTCTGCCACCAATCAATTGGTTTTGCCCATACAATAAGTGAAGGCGGTCTGACAAAACTTTGGGCATGCATCTCCGCAAGGAGGGTAAAGAAGTGATTTCTATGGAAGATATCAATTAGGCGAAGCCCTGTACCATATCGGCAAACTGAACATCGGGCAGTAAACACGGCATACATGGGCTATGCATCACAGGCTTTTCGAAACTCGATCGCATGACTGGTCGGTAACTCCGATAACAATAAGGCTACCGTAGTAAATCCGTAGAGGTGCTAAATGTGTGATGATGGGATGCCGTCTCTGACTTCTTAACCTTCTCTCCCCCTCTCAATTTGCGACCTTTCGTTAAGTTTCCTCTACAGTATACCTCCAGCGTTATTATTCCCTCTGAATACGTACACGAGACACCATCATTTACTACGGTATCTCTCCACATAACACACTTGAGTCTAGCAGGCGCGTGTCGTTTCGTTCTCAGCTTAATCTTGGACACTTTTAAGCCAAGGACGAAACACAAGGGCATCCAATCAATCACGCAACTTCTTTCGAATTGCCATTCGGAGCTACCTCGCTTGTGAATCATCAGCAACAAGGCGTATGCTACCGGCATCGTCAATCGTTTCGCATAAAAAGCCAGCATCAATCCTTTCACATAGTACACTATGAGACTTCTCAATACTGCAACTTTGGAGTTTGAGAAGCAGTTTGGAGATAGAGCACGAGAATATGCCATCCTCTCGCACAAGTGGGAGAAGGTAGAAGAAGAAGTTTCGTTCGAGGAATTACGCTCTCCTTCGGCTCGCAAGAAGAAAGGCTACGCAAAAATCTGTGACTTCTGCGACGAAGTTAGATCACAAGGATACGACTACGCTTGGGTTGACACGTGCTGCATTGATAAAAGGGACTTCACCGAACTCGCAGAAGCCATCAATTCAATGTTCAATTGGTACAAGAACTCTTCCACCTGCATTGCCTATCTGTCCGATTTCTTGCTAGAACCAGAACTAGGTCATCGACAGTTTGAATCCGACCTTGCAAAAAGTCAGTGGTTCAGCCGAGGCTGGACCTTACAAGAGCTTATAGCTCCAGCAGAGGTCAAATTCTATGATTCGAAATGGCGTTACTTTGGGACCAAACAAGATCTTGCCGGAGCAATCTCCAAGATCACTGGAATCAGCAAAGCTCTCCTTCAAGGCAAACGGGGCTTGAAGAAATTCAGCTGCGCACAAAAAATGAGTTGGGCGGCGAAGCGGCGAACTACTAGACCTGAAGACAGAACATATTCGCTCCTTGGACTTTTCGGCGTTAGTCTACCACTCATATACGATGGAGACGGCTCCAGAGCCTTCAAGCGGCTGCAAGAAGAAATCATCAAGAGCTCCACAGATCAGTCCATATTTGCGTGGGTCCAGTATGGGCCATCGCCCTTCATCCAAGGTGGACGTACGATATTTGACCAAAAATGCAGTATCCTTGCACCATCACCCGATTGCTTCCGATTTTCATCAAATATTGTTGCTTTCAAAAGGGAGGTATCAAACACTCCTTATTCTCTGACCAACACTGGATTGGATATTACCCAACCAATTTACAAGTTGATCTCTTCGGGAGACTTGGTCTTGCTAGAAGTACTGCTGGACTGTTATAGTGAAGGAAACCAAGACTGCAGAGTATCAATAACTGTAGTGGGGTCAAATTCGATCTATAAGTTGATGAGATGGCGGTCAACAGAAACTCTCGGGAACCACAGCAGACTAGCGGTATCCAGAGTTGAGCCTCACTTTCTCGGAGCTCTCAGCTTTCACTCAGGTGTTATTGCCCGGGAAGAAGATCGTGCGAAGGTTCCCTTACAAATCTCGCCTATTTCTGTCGACTCGGACCAGACCTTGGTATCGGTGGATGTATCTTGGATGAACGATCGAGGGTGGGAGGTGGATACACTCAGGAAAATGATTTTTGCTAGATGTCAAATCCAGAATTTACGCAGAGAGAGAGCCAGAGCAAAAAAAAATGACATCAGCAATATGCGCTTAGGGCTTGGTATAGTTGCACTTGGAGCTTGTGTATGGAAGCTAGCCTTGGGAACCGATTCAGTAGCTATGAAGTGATTGATTAACTGCTAGTTGAAGAGAATGTTACGCTTTACTCTGGTGCATTTCACTTCGATCGGGTGATGCTGCCGCTAGGCTTAGCCGGTGGCGCACGGCAGAATCCGGGAATAGCTTCAACGCTTCTTCTTAGGCTTCCTTCCTTCCTTGGCTTAGAATCGTCGAATATAGGGATTCTCATACCTTTGTTTAGGCCATCTCATGCTATATATGACTTTATTCTAAGCTCATCCATGATATGATCTCAGGTTTCCAGGTCCCAGGTCAAGTCCCAGGCGCACGAAAGCTTCCAATCATTTTTCACGACATAATACGTTTGAGTGTAGGTGCTTGCAAGCGTGCCTATATTGTTACTATGATACACACAATTTTGTGTTCTTCTTTTTGTTCTCCTCACTATGGATCAAGCATCGCTCTAGGCAGAAGTACAGCGTCAGCACGATTAACTGAAAACTCGACGCGACGAGATCCTTGTAATCTTACTTAAGGCGACAACTGTCGACATACGTGCAGCGCAGCTGGAAGTGCAGCTTGTGAATAAAAGCCAGTACAGATGTCAGGCGCGAGGATCTCGACGACGCGAGATGAAAGACTTAGTCGCTATATGATGAAGCGGATTTCGGGAGGGAGACTCGTAAATAAAGTGAAGCGTTGGAGGCCTACTAGCGAGACGACAGTGGCGGTTGATAACATCTGTTCCAGCCCAACCACGAATATCTCTCATTCACAAATGAACTAGTCTAGTCGTGAATAGACTAGATTCACGTATGAACTAGTCTATTCGTGAATCAACTAGTCTATTCACGAAATACCATCTATTTATAAATAGACTAGCCTATTCACGAATTACGTATGCTATTATAATAAGACTTGTAATTAGACTAGTTTATTCGCAAAAAGCCTAGTTTAGTTATTAATTAAAGATATATTTATAAGTTCTATATTATAATATTTATTTTTATCTTTTTCGTTTTCTTTATTCTCTTATTCTTAATATTCTTAATTATTTTAATTTTAGTTCTTAAAGCTAAGCTAATTAAATATTTATAATTATAGTTTAGTTTTAAATAATAATAAATTGAGTGCTTTTACTTATTTTAATATAATTATAATATTTAAAAATTATATAATTCTTTATATTTATAAGAAATAATTGCTTTATTATTTATAAAAGTTTTCTTAATAATTAAATTAAAAGCTATTTTAATTTTAAGCTTAGTAACTTTTATATTTTATATAAATAATAAAATAATTCTTTATAATTCTTTTATAAATAAAAGTTTATTAATTATCTTTTAATTTATTTAAATCTTATATTAGTACTTTTAAAAATATATTAAAAACTCGCTTAAATGCTTTTTAATTATTAATAGAAAGTCGAGTTTTATAAAAAAAGCTTTAATATAATATTATTATTAATTATAAAAATATTAATTTTATAAATCTTATTATATTTATTAATTATTTTATTGCGTGTCTTTTAATATAATAAATATTAAATTATATATAAATATGGCTTTTATTTATTAGCTAAATTATAATAAGTACTTATTTCTTTATTTAATAAAATATAGTTTATATTAGTTTATTAGTAATATATAATATAATATATAATATATATAAAATACTAAATATATAATATATATAAAATACTAAATATATAAAATTAGTAAAATAGTTAATATTTAGAAGTAAGAATTATAATATTATAATATTAATATATAATTCCTAACTTTACTAAGCCTAATAAGAACTAGCTATTAATTGAGTTATTTATAAAATATAAAGTTATATAACTATATCTCGTATTTTATATTTTATTATTTATATTTTATTACTTATATTTTATTACTTATATCTTATATTTCGAGTTCTATAATTATATATATAACTTCTAAAAAATAGCTATATTAATACTAGAATCTTTCTAAAAACACAAAAAAATAGTATTTTCTTTTAATTATATACTAATTTCCTAATCCGGCCTAGTACTAGACTTCTTAAATACTTTATATATTTATATATATTCTTTTATTTTATATTTCTATTTTATATATTTATTTTTTAATTTATTTTTTAATTTATTTTTTAATTTATTTTTTAATTTATTTTTTAATTTATTTTTTAATTTATTTTTTAATTTATTTTTTAATTTATTTATATTTAATTTATTTATATTTAATTTATTTATATTTAATATATTTATATTTAGTTTATTTATATTTAATTATTTTATATTTATATTAATTAGATATTTAAAAGTATTTAATAGCTTTAATTTTATTATAAAGTTAATAGAATTCAATTTTCTCTTAATTTATTATTAGTATAGCTATTTCTTTAGGAATTATATATATAGTTACGAGATACGGGATACGGGATATAAGTAATAGAATATAGGTAATAGAATATGGAATACGAGATATAGTTATATAACTTTATATCTTATTAGTAATTCGACTAGTAAACTAGACCCCTTTAGGCTTAGTAGATTTAGGGATTATATATTAATATTATAATATTATAATCCCTACTTCTAAATAATAATAACTTTACTAACTAATATAACTAGTATTTTTATATTTATATAATAGTACTATATATTACTAATAAACCAATACTAATTAGTTAGTACTTATAGATTAGAGATAGAATAGTTATACTAAAGAAGTATCCGGTAGCCTATAGCAAAATTAAACTAGTCTATATTAAAGAAGGGAATTACCTATTAATTCTATAAAGCATCCGGTAGCCTAAAAGAGAAAATAGCTAGCTCTTACTAAGAACTAAGAACTACTCTATTAAAGGGAGAAATTACTTATTAACTCTATAAAATATCCGGTAGCCTAAGAGAAAAGACTCTAGTTCTTACTAATTAATAAGTAGTTAGCTATTTAACTATCTATTTATTTAATTATTTACTATTCTTTAAAACCAACTTCTTTTAGCCCCAAGACTATCTTCTTAGAAACTATCTTTTCTACTTATATAATACCTGTATCTATAGGACTCTCTTTCCGGAATATATATCCTATATATATCCTTAAAGCTCTTTAATTACTACTTCGATTTTATTATTAAATTGAGTCCTTTAAGCTTTAGATTCTCCTGGAATTATAATATTTCACTTCCTAAATTTCTCGTTATGAACGAAATATTTAAGGGCAAAATATTTACTTTAATACCCTTAATACTCCTAGATATCTGGGATATCTGGTATCTCAACCAGGTATCTAGTATCTGGTATCTAAACCAGGTATCTGGTATCTTAACCAGGCATCTGGCATCTGGTATCTGAACTAGATATCTGGTATCTTAATAACTAGGCATCTGGTATCTTAACCAGGCATCTGAACCAGGCATCTCGTATCTTAACCAGGTATCTGAACTAGGCATCTGGTATCTAAACCAGGTATCTAGATATCTTTACTACCGAACTCTTTTTATAAACTTACTATAAACTACCTTATCTTTAAATCTCTCTTACTACGAATTATATATATATTAAGAAGGGCTTGGCTCTAGAAGTTTAGTATAGCAGAACTATAGGATAGATATATATAGGTAAAGAAGTAGAAAGGCAGTATTAATCTAATTACTTATAGTAATAAGAAAGTTCTAAATTACCTTAATACTAGACTATTCTAGTATAAGATAAAGAAGTCAACTAATAATAATCTCTAGGAATTATTTAAGAAGAATTTTAGTAATTTTACTCTCGAAATACTTAATTATCTAAATTAATATATATTATATAAATTATAAGCTACTTTATAATATAGTAATATTTATATTAAATAAAATAATAAGAAACTTACTATTATATAGTTCTTAGTTAATACTATTTAGGAAGAAGAATAATATATTTAGACTATAGCTAATATTATTACTACTAGATTAGATCTTAATATAGGTCCTATTACCTTATTATATATATCTCTTAATAATAGTATTATAAGAAATTAATAAACTAAACTAATTATTACTTATATTTCTTTATTACCTATAATTATTCTTACTAGTACTAGATTATAGAGAGCTAGTAATAACAAATTTCTATTACTTTTATTATTTCTATTATTTTTAAATAGCTCTTTAGCTAGCCCTCTTATTATAAAACTAATTAGAGAAGTAATAAAGATATATACTAAAATATAGAAATATAATAGAACTAATAGTAGTTTTAACTAAAAACTTACTATTTTCCTTAATATTTACTAATATATAAAGCTTTTATAAGAGGTATTAATAAGAGCTTTTCCTATTATATTAAAAAAACTAATATAAAATTACTTTTATAATAACTAGCTCTCTTAATATATATATAAAGAAGCCTATATAAATATTTATAGCTTTTTTAAAGGCCCTGGTTTCTAATATCGAAATTTAGATAAGTGAAATATTATTATAATAGTAATTATAATAGCTTAATATTCTAAAAAGATAATATTTAAGCTTATCTAGTTACTAATTAATAACCTATATAAATTATAATATAAACTAGTATCTGTCCTATAAAATATCAAATTCCTATATAATAAGATTATTACTTCTTATTAAAGTATACTAGTATACTAATATATAGTCTCGAATTCTTTTTCTAATCTCGGCTAACTTATTAATAAGCTCTAATTATCTATTATTACTTATAAGAAGAAATAATAGATTAATATCGAGATCTTCTTTACTAATTAATAATACTATTCTTAAAACCCTCTAAACTATTACCTATTCGGAAATTATTAATATAGATCTAGCTATAACTTCGGAATTTATAATAACTACTTTAAGTTCTATAATTATAATAATTATATCCTAAAGTTATATTTTATATATAAGAAACCCAAATACTACTTATAAAAGTATATACTAGAAGAATAAAAGGCTAAGAAGGCTTAATTTAAAAGTAAAAACATTTACTAATTTAGATCCCGAAATACCCGTAACTTTAATAAATGCTTTAGTAATACTTATATATAGTATATTACCGAATTTAAAAGAGAAAAGAATAATAAGAATAATAAAAATAAACTAGTAAATAATGCTTTTAAAGCCTTACTAGTAGAAATAAATAAAGGAAAGAAATATTACTTTAATTCCTATTTTATTTCTATTAAGAGCTTCTTAGCTACTTTTATAGCTTTTGCTTCTGCTATTTCTATAACTAATACCCTTTTAAATAACCTCACTTTCCTTTTCCTTATATATTAGATAATAGGCGAAAACTATATCCTAGAGCCTATTAAATAAATAGAGAATACTCAGATATTTATAATTAATAATATATTAAGATATAATACTTATTGCTTTTATAAA